AGCTGCAGTAAGCATTATTACTGATAAATTAATGCAAAAACTGGGATTTGCAATGACTAAAAAATCAAAAACTGTAGTTGTTATAGCTAATAGCAGAAGATTTAAAGCTATAAGAATTGTAAAACATGTTAATATTACCTTACAAGATATTATTATACTGATAAATCTACAGGTAATAGAATTAATAAATGAAATATTAGAAACTAATTGGTTTAATAAATCAAGTGCTACTCTAGATTTTGGAAAGCATACTTTACATATTAAATACTATGAGAAATAAGCAACTAATAATACTACATATACTAGCATTATTATATATTGAAGAAAATGAAGATGAATTAGATGATAATCAATAGATCAATGAATTGCCAAAACAATAAAGGTAAATCAGATGTTGATTAATAGATCAATAAATTGAAAGAGAAGAAGAATTAGAAACTTTCTTCTCTGATGAGTCAAAAATGAATACAGAAGATGAGTTATATTATAATCTTTGAGAAAGATAGTCTAGCTATATATCTTGCAAAATCTGCGAAAAATATAACTCAAGAAATAAAGGAATTAGATTATAATATAGATCAAAAAGTTACTCCTAAACAGAAAGAAGATGCTTGAATATTATTATTCAAGAATTATGACATTTTTGGTACAAATATATCAGAAGAAGGACAAACTATAGAATTAGGTTGTACTAATATAGTACAATACTATATTAATATTAAGAATGCTGCACTGATTATGCAGAAGCCATATCGAATTACACCTGATGCACAAGAATTTCTACAGAAGAAATTAAATAAAATAGAAAAGTTAAGTATTTTTAGAGCTGTAGAAAAACTGTGGAGATTATCAATAGTTATAGTTTTTAAAAAGAATAAAAAAAATGAATTTGTATAGATTATCAAAAGTTAAATGCAATAACAGAAAAGAATATTTATCCTTTACCTAATATTAATGAAGTTTTAGATAGTTTTAGGAAAGCTCAATGGTTTTCAAGTTTAAACTTGGCTAGTGGTTACTGGCAAATTGCTATGGTTAAAAAAGATAAAAAGAAAATAGCTCTTATTTAGTGTTTGAAAATGAATTAAAAATTCTGGTTAATCTGGGATTGATCTGAATCCAATCCGAATCCAAATTCAGATTGAATCTGGGAGTGATCTGTGCTAATCTGATGGGTTGTCACATATATTTGTCACAATATAAGTGATAAATTCAAATTTATCACATGACAAATGTGAATTTATCACTTATATTGTGGCACAAGGTGTGATTGATCAAATTTATCACATGACAAATTCAAATTTATCACATAGAGTGATTATATAAAGATATGACCTAAAATTAGGCCCAATTTCACTCAATCCGGGCCCAATCTGACATTTCAGGGGTCAAACCTAATCCGACAGTTTGGATCTGCACAAATCCAAATCTGATCCGTGCTGACTTTTTCGAGCACTACCCTTATTACTAAATTTGCACTTACAAATTTAATATAATGCTATTTAGGCTTTGTAATATACTTGCTACATTTCAAAGATTAATGGATTCAGTATTATGGGAGTTCATAAATAAATTTGTAGTTATGTATTTGGATGATATTACTATATACTTACTTACATTTGAGATTACTTTTAGCATTTTCAACAAGTGTTTATATAAGATTATAATTTTTTAAATATTAATTTATATACAGTATATACAAAAATCAAACCAAAGTTATATAAATATTTTTATTTTACATTAAATAGTTAATATTATTATATAAGCTGCTATCAATAGAAATCAACAAATTTATATTTGAAAAAAATCAATACCTTAAATTTCACAGCTTATATTTTAATAAATTTTAAAAATATTTTAATTATTTTTTTTTTCTTTCAGCAATCCTGTTTACTTTATTATGAGAACAGACTTTCATTCTTACATGGCATAAGAAGTCTAAATCTATAAGTATTCTAACCAAAATATAAACTCACCTATAGCATACCTCACAGATGCTATGACATCTACTTGCAGTCAGGATGAACTATTAAACTGCTATGTTTTGCCCAGATGTGACCTGCCTAGTGAATGATTGGCCTTCTTTAGAGATTCCTTGGCT